AGGGGATATTCAAACCATAGCAGTGGGGCACTGCATTAGATGGAGTGGTGACTACAATAACGTAAGATATTTCCTGTATTCAGGGGAATTTTTAGTCTGGTAGAGAAGTAAGACATTTAAATTAACAAGAGAGGAAAGAGGGTTATAATGGAGGTACTCTTTTGGATACATGATTATAGAGGGAGAGCAGGTCATGGAAGGCTCCCTTGAGAAATGACCTTCAGGTGAATGCGGAATCATTAAGACATCCACTGCAGGGAGAAAAGTCAGGAAGGGAGGAAGATAGCAATAACAGTGACACGGAGGTCTATGGCTGAACACTGCTGGTATCAAAAGGTTCTGTGTCCTTCAACATGACTGAGACACAGGGTATGTAGACAGATGTCATGAATTGGGATAGAAAAGGGAACTTAGGGCCAAATCACCCAAGACCATTTCACTGGCCATCAGTCTTTGGTCACACACTTGATAATATTCCTAACATACCTTCCATCAAGTATACAATGTACAATCGGATTCCAAAGGGAGATGGAGCAAGGAGGAGGGAAAGAGACAAGGGAAGAAGGAAAACAAAGAGAAAAGCAGCCATCAGGGAGAAAAAAGGAAAACAAGAGTGTTGTCAAAGACGTTGAGGAAGGCATCCCAGGAAAGGTGTCAAGAGGCAGAAAGATGTTGCAGAGGCCAGATGAGATGACCCCTGACATGCATCAATCATACAATCACAGCATCCTGAGGCTGAATAATGCACTGTCCCCAAAGCTGTCCACATCTTAATCCCCAGAGTCTGTGAATATGTGACCTTTTACGGCAAAGGGACTTTGCAGATGTGATTAAGTTAAGGATGCTGAGATGAAGAGATGGTCCTGGGTTAGCTGGGCGAGCCCAGTGGCATGACAAGGGCACTTATAAGAGGGAGGCAGGAGGGTCGGAGTCAGAGAGGGAGATGTGCCTGCCGCAACAGCTAAGGAATGCGGGTAGCCTCCAAGGGGGAAAAAGACAAGGAGATAGATTCTGACACATCGATTGTAGCTCCACCAGGTCCATTTCAGAAAGTGGCCTCCAGAACCATGTTTATTAATGGGTGTTCTTCAAACCATTGTTTGTGATTATGTGTTACAGCTGAGAACATGAACATGTTGGGGAAGGAGTGGAAAATAAGGAAAAACAAATGTGACTGCTCCTTCTGGAATCCTAGTTAAGAAGTATACAGCAGGGATGAAACACGGCTGCTAGAAAGTGTCCATTAGATGTGAACGACTGCATTTCCAAATATAGAAGACATCAGAAAGAAATCAATTGAAACAATTCTCTATAAGCATCTAGAGGAAAACATTTGTAGAAAAAAAGCATATACTATTAGAGCTGGAGCTTGCTTTCTAAGCCTTGAAAAGCCAAATCATTTTGAAATTTCTTTCCAAAGCAGTTTAACCTTTTAAACACCAAGAAAAGAAATACTGGACGGGCGTTGTGGCTCACGCCTGTAATCCCAACACTTTGGGAGGCTGAGGTGGGCAGATCATGAGATCAGGAGATCGAGACCATCCTGGCTAACACGGTGAAACCCCGTCTCTACTAAAAATACAAAAATTAGCCAGGCATGTTGGTGGGCGCCTGTAGTCCCAGCTACTTGGGAGGCTGTGGCAGGAAATATGCATGAACCTGGGAGGCAGAGCTTACAGTGAGCCAAGATCACGCCACTGCACTCCAGCCTGGGTGACAGAGCAAGACTCTGTCTCAAAAAAAAAAAAAAAAAAAGGAAAGAAAGAAAAAAGAAAAATAAATAAATACTGCAATTTCTTCCTGAGACATAAGATCAATGAACTGATCTTCAACTACACAAAAACAAGATGGCATTGCTGTTGAAGATCACGTCAAAAGTCCACTTGCTTTGAAGGATAATTAGATTAAATAGAATGTTTCCTAAAATCAGTAATGTTCTGGTTGGATAGTCAAGGAATCCCAACTCATGTGCTACTATTTTATCTCTTTTAATTATTTTCTCAGATGGTTAATGCCACATTATTTCAGAGAGTTGTTCTAAGACTTAACCACAGAAATGGTGATGATTTTAAAAACATCTGAAAACACTGAGCGTTAGCAAAATGTGCCCAGTATTCCAGTTGTACTTTAAGTAAAATGTTTAAACTATAACCTAATATTTCAAATATAAAATAGTAAGTGACAATTATTCACTCCAGTTAATTAACTGATTTTTAAGCAAGTATCTGACTTAAACATTGAAAAAATACAACCCATGATATCTTATCAAAAGAATTAAATTAGTTGAGATTTTTAACTAATTATTATAAAAGACTAAATGGAAATAGTAGTAATAAACGCTATCAAAAAACTACCTTTTATGAACTTTAAAATCTGTAGCTGGCAAATACTCCATTTTACAGTTTACCTTGATTAGAATCTTCAACTTTTGAAAAGTAAGAAATTAGTGAAGACACATATCACTGGACATAGTGTGCTGTTCTTTTCGTTTACCTGATGCCATTTGCTTATTACTGTGCCAGATTTTATTGGTTAACTTCTTCCCAGAACAGCATAATTTGAACAATCCAATCAATTGCCATTAAAAGGACAAGTGAAAGACTAAACATTCCCCAAGGAAGGTTTAAATTTTCCAAGTAATCGAGAAGAAAATACAGCAGCTAAAACAGTAGTTCATTTAGAAGACTTAATTACAGATAAGTCAATGCTAAACAACTTATATTTTTCTGTGCATATATATGAGATCAGAACAAATGCGGGGGGGGAAAATCTCTTATATTCAACATTCAATTGCTTCCAAGTTGCTATCTCCTATTAAAAAAAAAAAAAATCCATAAGACATTGCACTGGTTTTCTTCTCCACCCAGGTTTGCAAAACTCAAGAAGGAAAATGATACCTACTCATCCCCTGGTGAAAACAGAATGCTTCCTTTACCAAAACATGACTAACATAGCCCAGAACCCAAAATAACTTAGTCTTCCCATCCAATGTTAAAGCACCACAGGTTTTCCACAGAATGTGAAGGAACTCCACTCAAGAAGTTGGTGGGCTTTGGACCAATACGCAGGAGAGCATAGGCAAAGAACGGCGCCTTCTGAGAGCTGGACAAAACCAGCATTGCCCTGGGGCACTGCCTGCTCTTCTTAGCTGAGGGGATGGGCAAAGGTTAGGGAACCCATTTGGACTGCTCAGCCAGGACTTAGACCTTAAGGTTACTGGTTTCCAGCGAGGGCTTGTTTCACTTCCCCTGAAACTGCTGAGTTGAGAACACTGGCCTGCATCCAACACATATAAAGCATCTTCTACGTGGCCTGCACTGTGATACATACTTGGCAGCATGACATTTCCTTATTTATATTTTAAACTGTAGACAAAGAGGAACAGCACAAAAGTTCATGGACAGGAAAGAGTGACCACTGTTCCAGGCCTTTGCACTGACCACAATTTACATGGATCATGTTACCTTCTACCTTGCTTTAGTCCTAACTGCTATTTCCCCATCACCCCATGTCACACTTAAATCGACCAAGACTTAGAAACACAATTGAAAATCATGTTTTCAGCAGGCACTGTGGAAATGGAAGTATAAAAGATATATTAAGAGAACGTTTTTCAGCAAAAGATCCTTAATCATCTGTGTCTAAAATATATTTAGTTAATATTTACTACAGGTCCACAGCATGCCAGGTGTGGCAGAGAACAACATGCCAGAGAAAGAGAAAACAACTCCATTCCCCATTGATATTAATTATCCACTCCAAGGAAGCATACTGAGTCAGAATTACTTCTCTCAAAACTTCCCACGAAAAATAGAATCCAGGAACTCCCTGGTTTTAACTGTACAAAATGCACTTCATTAAAAAGTTTAGTGAAGCGGAATAAAAATCGCAATAATTGTTTGTACTTAATCAAGCGTTCCCTTCTTCTAGATCATGAAACAAATGGATTGGAGGGTGAAAAAAACAGTCAAGATGTTTCTCCAAGATCAATCTGTGCAATAATGAACCTTAGCCCTAAGAGAGATCAACCAGCAACCAGAATCCATCACTTGAGCAGCTAGAGGCCACCAATGAAAACCCATGTGAGCCAGCTGCAGCTTCTTGTGTTGTTGAAGGCCACTGAATCTTTCCCTGGTGCACATAAATTTTACATGTAAAATTCAAGGGTGTTCCCAGGCCCCATTCATCCATACACCCCAGATGACAGGCTTTAAACCCGCTCTGTGTTTAAGAGTTGTAGTGCGTGCATTCATAGAATTCCTAATACAAAAGTATATGGACAAATATATGCATCAGAAACCACCACTTAATGAAAATGTTCCTTAAAAATCATATTAAAAGTCTTTGTTTTCGTCTTGACATTTTAACACTGCAAAAATACAGATACAAGACATAAAACTTACTCACCGATTGTGTCATTGCGGATTCAGAATTGATGGTTTTTAATAAAAGCAGTTAACATATTAATAATTACTGTAAACTTGCCATCTAATTAAATCTTAGAAAAATCATAAGTTAACTGTATATCACCATCAGTATCTTGTCTCTATAAAAATATATGAAAATCTGTTTTCTCTACAAATTTAAAGGAAATATCAACTCTAACTCCACCTTCTTTAGTCAGAGTGGCTTAAAAATTTCTTTTCAAATTTCTTAGTATAGAAAAATAATGTTTGCTATTCAAAGCCAGTAACCAAAGAAATAAGAATGGGGAAAAGAACGGCTTTCCGAACTATTTCAAAGGTTTGCTGCATTAAATACGTATTTGAGCGTATTCAAGCTAAAACTAACATAACTTTCAGCCCTGAAAGACTTCAGTCATTCTGTAGCGGTTCATCGTTGAAAGGAAGAAAATATATTCACACATCAATCAACGTACTAACGCACAGTAAATGCACGCACGCGTACGTACACGCACGCGCACGTACACGCACGCGCCAGGAGGCACGCACGCGCCAGGAGGCACGCACGCGCCAGGAGGCACGCACAGATTTCCGCACCCGATGCCCTACGCCCTGCGCATCGCCGGATGTGACGTCCCGCGTGGAGCCCCACAGGCAGGAAATGCGATCAGAAGAAGGTGGGCGAAGGTTCCCGGCGAAGTCTCCACTGAAGGAGCTTCTGTGAAATGCTGAGTTAAAAGAGTCCTCGCCAAGGCCTTCTTTCCCTTCTTTCCTGTACTAAGCATTAGTCTTCCTACCCTCAGAGGCCAGTATGTCAGTGCCCACGGGAATCCTATCGCTCCACCATGTCCCTCTTTTTCTCTAGCAGATGTCATGGACCCACCTTGTAGGATTTTGGAGGGAATGGTCCCTGGTGAAAGAGGAATCAGGAAATTAGTTTAGCAGAATGGGGAAACTGGGAAACTGTTGCCTCAGCATGAAAAGGTAATTGACATAAAATAATCTTTTACTCGAGGCAAAACAAAGAAACACAGGTGAGCTTTGCTTACATTTTAAAAAAATTAAGTCGGGGAAATTTTTGAATAAACAACAAAATATATTTATTTCTATTTGATCAATAACCTACAATGCCCTTCCCACTTCTTAATTTAGCAAATATTTATTAGTTTACTGCTATGGGACAGGCACTCTTGTGGCTAACAGAGAAAGAAAAGTTAACAAGAACCAGCACCCATCTCCTGGTATTTCCATGTATCCACTATAGTTTACATAAAAGGATTAGATATTGAAGTTTTGATAATTGTACACTTTTTTAAATGCCCATCGAGTACTAATTTTAAAAGCTAAATATTAAACTTTATTTTCCCCATGTCTGCACAACTCGGTTCATCTCTTTTGATTTCCGAGCAGACAAAATACCCTGATTAACTCCTACATACACCAAAGCTAGATAGAGGAGAAATCTTTTTTAGCAATTACTCTTCAATTGATGAGCTTTCATCCCACTTTCTAAGTGGAAGGAGCATATCATAGAGATTGAGCGTGTATTTCAATCACAATTTACCCCATTGTCTGCCTTTGAAATCACCTTCAAGAATCATAGGTGTCTTTGTAATAACATTCAAATACTGTCCTTTTATTTCCCAGTCGTTGATTCCCTAACATCTGAAGGTTATACTGTAGTTGCTGCACCACACCGATTTGCATAACTACTCTAAGTCCTTTGAAATCACAAAATGTTTAATGTAAGATTCATTTGGGTAATATATGTTCAGAACTTAGTATCAACAATGTCAATGTTCGAACTTACAGGCCCCTAGAATTACCCTGATCATCAGAATCTTCAACATACTCACAAATTCAGTTCCATATAATACTGACTTTCCAATTTCCTAGTTCACCCCTTCATCCCTTGACTTAAAAATTATGTTTTCAGGAATGCCATGAAAGGAATTTTTCTTGATCATCAGTTTTGAATTGGACTAAGTCATACTGGCAATAAAATAAATTCTAACATAAGATCACTAAGACAATCCAGACTATCATGAAAATCCATTGCAAAGAATTCTTCTTAACAGGGATTACAAAAACAGAAAGTGTTCAGTCAACTGTATATAGAAAAATTGAATGAACTGGCCTAAATTGAAATTTTCAAGTATTAAATAAGCTTCACGAATTATTTGTACTTCTGAGCTAGCTGTGGTTCTTAATTTACATTCACACATTCTTCATAGTGAAAAGGAATGAATGCATGTCTCTGCAGTCTTTAAACATACCAAAAACCTAGTAATTGCAAACAACTAATTAGCAGCAGACCTGGATTACAGCATAGATGTCCCCACTATCAGGCTTATGGGTGTTTCCATGAAATCCTGCACCCCTCCTCAAGTACAACCGACGTCACTGAAGAGTCATGATACCTTCAGTTCTTACTGAGACTTTTAAGAATACTGGGAAAGGAAAAACCCTTTGTCACTTGTTTTTCATCCAGCCAACTGATTCTTGGTGTACAACGTAGGAAATTCCAACCTAGGATCACCATTCAGCAAAGACCCCTCCAAATTATCAGGAAAACGCACTCCAAAGCATTCCCCCTTAAGAGAAAATGCAGCCACCAATTAAGCAAAAGCAGTAGCTGACTCTTGCAGAGACATGCTGATAATGCCCAGTGGTTTCAAATGTAGATTGAACCTAAATGCATATGGTAAAACAATAAAAAAAAGTCCTAGGTTCAGAAGTTCTCATTTCTTTCTCATGATTGTGCACTTTATATAATGTTACCTTTGGATTTCATAAAGTGAGTCTATCATATTATAAGCTTTGAGTCGTCTATAGCTCTGAGCCTGATGCCAGACCTGTTACTACTGCTTCTCCTTGGAACTAGGACAGTCTGATTATATTAAACTGAATGTTCTTTGCACTGCAGCTACTGAAATGATTACAACCAAAACTGCATTGGGTTCCTGTTCCAAAGGCTGTAGGTGTGAGAGAGAAGACAAATATTTCTCAGACTTCAGGCCTTGATTATTTATTAAGACTCGTCCAGGTTGAAAAAAAAGAAAATAGAAAAAAGAAGAAAGTTGAATGATTCAGGAGCCAACCATAATGTATCATTATTGATTATTTAGCTGTATATGCTGATGAAAAATGATGTGTACCTTTATTCGTTTTACCTTTGATAAGACAAATAAATCTATACTAGATAAAAATAGCAAACAGCTGATCAATCATTTTTCCAAATATGATTTTCTTCCAATTTGTATGTTAAGGATCAAATGGGGGAGGTGGGACAGTATTAATCTTTCTTTATAAATTACAAATTATCTTTGAAAAACAAAAGCTGGTATTTGTTTATGGCAGGAAATATGGAGAGATGTTTAAAAATCAACTTTCTTTGGAAACAAGAGTTCCATAAAGGACATGACCTTGACAATCTTCTAGAATTAAGGAAAAATACTGAAGTTTTATTCTATAAAGAGAAAACCATGGATAGGAAAATTATCTGGCAATCATTAAAGAGATACTCAAATGGCCTTTGTGGTCTAAATTTTGACAAAAGTTTGGAAGATACAACATCAAATTAATAAGAAAATTTGTCAGTAACCAATATTTAAGCAATCAAATTGTAAAGACTTCAGATTTGCAGCTGAACCATGAAAAGACACAGCCATTTACTTGAAATGTATGAAAGCATCAGATGAACCTTTCTAAAATTTGAATTTGTGGGGAAGGGTCCAGATTTTCAATTGTGAAGTATCTCCACTAACATGGCCTCACAGCTGTATATCACAAAAGTATTCTACCCATATCTTTTCCTTGGGCTCTGCTCTATTTCTAATGTTCAGACAGTGAGAAAGATCTCATGGTCTGAGTGTCCCCTCTGCCTGTACTAGTAGCACCTGTCTGATATTTTGAACCCCCCACTCTGCAGGGGCTACAAACAAAAAGGGTAAAATGAGATGTGGGGGTCATTCAGATGGCCCAAGATGGACTTTTTGATCATTGCAAATGTTTACTCTAGAAGAAAATGGACTTCTAGTGAGCAGTGCAGCCAAGGGTGAATTTCTGAGAGGTTTACATACAGTGAGTCAGAGAGCTGACCTTCATTTGTGTTTTTCTACTTTATGAGATGTACCCCAAACTGTGGCCATGAGGAGGAACAGACAATTATTTAAAAATCCTAAATTTCCAAGCATGTCACATTGGACATTCCAAATGAGCTAGAAACCACTGCTTTCTACTTTTGTTTGTTTCAATTTTTTTTTTTTAAAGTAAACAATTTTCACCACCAAAGTAATCCGAAAGCACTGCTAGACTTGGTTTAACCAGGCTGAAAAAATGCATCAATGAAATAAGTCAGTAGAGGTTAATGATTACCAATAATTATTTTTTCAAAATTATTCATCAACTCATGCAACACAGGATGGGTAGAATTTCAGTAAGGAGGGAAAGGAAATGTTGCACACAGGCAGACAGAATAGCATAAATCAAAGGCTGGAGGTAGGAAGGCACCAGGCTTGGGATTGCCTGGGTGGAGTAAGGGACTAGAAAAGAAGCTCAGATGCTCTAAAGGGCTTGATCCAAAGTGAAGTGTGTGCTGGGCACAGTGGCTCACGCCTGTAATCCCAGCACTTTTGGAGGCCAAAGCAGGTGGATCACTTGAGGTCAGGAGTTCGAGACCAGCCTGGTCAACATGGTGAAACCCTGCCTCTACCAAAAATACAGAAATTAGCTGAGTGGGCAGGGCGTGGTGGCTCACACCTGTAATCTCAGCACTTTGGGAGGCAAAAGAAGGCGGATCACCTGAGGTCAGGAGTTCAAGACCAGCCTGGCCAACATGGTAAAACCTCGTCCCTACTAAAAATACAAAAACTAGCTGAGCGTTGTGGTGGGTGCCTGTAATCTCAGCTACTTGGGAGGCTGAGGCAGGAGAATCACTTGAACCTGGGAGGCAGAGGTTGCAGTGAGCTGAAATTATGCCACTGCAGTATGGCCTGGATGAAAGATTGAGACTCCATCTCAAAAAAAAAAAAAAAAAAAAAAGAAGTGTGTATGTACTTCAGAAAAGCCAATTAACCAGTAAGACTGACTGATATGGCATTTTTCAGCATTCTAAAGTTTCCTCTGAATTTTCTGTTGAAGTATTTTAATTCTGGATCAGGCACTTTCAGCAATAGTGATGAGTTCCCATTCATGCTCGTACGATGGGACTCTCATCCTGTGCATCCCCTACCCCTTATCTAGAAAGTTTGGGCGTTCCTTAGACATCACCAGGCACTGAGCGTTTCATAGACATTGTTTTCACCCAATATTTTTTTTTTTTTTTTTTTGAGACAGGGTCTTGCTTTGTTGGCCAGGCTAGAGTACAGTGGAGCAATCACAGCTCACTACAGTCTCAAACTCCTGAGTTCAAGTGATCCTTCCACCTCAGCCTCCCAAGTAGCTGGGACTACAGGTGTGCATCACCATGTCTGGCTAATTTTTAAATTTTTTGTAGAGATGAAGTCTCACTGTGTGGCCCAGGCTGGTCTCGAACTCCTGAACCCAAGTGATTCTCCCTCCTCAGCCTCCTGACGTGTTGGGATTACAGGCGTGAGCCACTGTGCCTGGCCTCAATTACTTCTTATAATGTGACAGGTTAGGTATTTTATTACCCATGTTTGACAGCAAAGAAAGAGGAAGATATTAAAAGGTAATGAATAAACTATCTACCTAAGTTCATGCTGTGGCGTGGGCTTCCATCCTGCAGCCTAAAGATCCTTCTTGGTTGCCTCTTCCAACAGACACCCTGGCATCCTGGTAGGCCCAGGGGTTACAAGGAGAGCATGCAAACAGAATGAAGGGGCCTGCGTAACAGCAGCACAGGTTTCCCATAAGTGTGGCCAATGATCTGGAACTGCCCCTCCCTTG